CGTAAGTCAATGCTAACACTTAGGGCTGTAAATTGAAAATACACCGTGTATGTCAAAACCTTTGGATTATTTCTAGTCTTTCATTCAGCAAAAACTGGAGTTTGTCATGAGAAAGAACTGAAAATTTGAGTGAATTTTCTATTATGTGTTTACTGTCTCAGCATATGGAGATTGTAAATATGCATTTGTTGAGAAAAAAACAGTTGTATGATAGAAATTAATCTGTGATGTCATTTAAACATCATTTATTCATGCCCAATAATTACATTGTTCCATGTTAGTTATATCATCAGAGCAGCATCAGTAATTTTCTTTCCCCGCATTCTTTGCAGTAGCGAGATAATAATTGCATAATAATAATAATAAATTGCAAATGGGGTCCTTGTGTAGCTTGTAAATGACTGAAATCATTCAACTGTGTTTTCTTTTTTGTTTTGTTTTGTTCTGTTTTTGTTTTGCTTTTCCCAGTTTCGGGTTGTTAGCTTTACCTTCCGTTTGGGGCGGGATGGGTGCAGTTCTGCTCTTGTGCCTGAATTGCTCCTGCTCGCTCTGATCTTGGCAAAACCTCTTCATCTTCCCTGCCTAAACGTCACTTCCTTCAAATAGCATCTTCCTGGGCTAAGTGTTCTAAAAGAGTGTCCGAAGAATGCCCCTTTCCAGCTCCTTCATGCCCACTTATTCCTTTTATAGAAGTTAACTCGATGCTTTTGTATTTGTTTGCTTAAATATTTGCTTTGTTGCACTATCAGCTTTCAAAACCAAGGAATACATCTTTACAAAAAAATTTTATTTATTGGGCCCGGCGCAGTAGCCCAGTGGCTAAAGCCTCACCTTGCTCATGCCAGGATTTCACATCAGCACCAGTTCTTATTCCAGCTGCCCCACTTCCCATCCAGCTCCCTGTTTGTGGCCTAGGAAAGCAGTAGAGGATGGCCCAAAGCCATGGACCCTGCACCCATGTGGGAAACCTGGAAGAAGCTCCTGGCTTCTGGCTACAGATCAGCTCAGCTCTAGTTGTTTTAGCCACTTAGGGAATGAACCACAAGATGGACGATTTTTGTCTCTTTCCATTTCTCTCTCTGTAAAAATGCATTTCCAATAAAAATAAATAAATATTTAGGAAAAAAGTTTCACCTTGGTCTACTTATTGAAAGAAAATCAAGAATAGTAGTATCTTTCGCAGTCAGTGGAATTCTTTTAACAGTGCGTCTAGCAGTGAAATTATTTTAATACTACTAAAGGTGTTTGGTCAAGTGACTGGCCTTTCTTATTCATTTTTTAATATATATAATCAAATTGGTAGTGTTCAATGACACTTCAAAAATTAGTGGAAAATAAGTCAAAAGGTGTTTATTTTCATGCAGAAAGTTTTGGAAGTTGCATATCTTTTCTTTCAAAATCTGTGTTTTAATGTGAATTCATTGAAGAATGCTTGTACTACAGACAGGAACTAAGGAATGAAATAGAAGGAACGGAGAGCCCAGACTCACTACGGAGGTGCCCTGGGGCTTTAGGCAGTGATACGCGTGTAGTTACAGAAGGAGTGCAGTATTGTAATATAAACATTTATTAAAATAGGGTCAGGCCCACTGTAGAAAATTGTGAATTTTTATAAAAATGTATTAATTTAAAAAGCAAAATGACAGAGAAGGGGAGAGAGAGGTATCTTCTGTCTGCTGGTTCACCCCGCCAGTGGCTATAACACCCCTGACCGGACCAAGGTGAAGCCAGGGGCCAGAAATTCCATATAAGTCTCCCATGTGGATGAAGGGAATTCAAGTGCCCAATCCATCCAGTGCTACTTAGCAGGCATATTAACAGAATGGAAAGCAGAACAGCCAGAACTTCAACTATGACTCTGCTGTGAAGCAGATGTCCCAGGTGCTAAAGAGTCAGGCCTAAGGACTGGGAATATCTTGATTGAGGAGTAAATTTTTCTATGGGTTTTGAAAAACGAATACCAGATTACCAGGTGAAGGAGGCTGAGGTCATGGCCATTCCTTGAATGACAGCAGGAGTTCACACACTCTGCATCCTCTCTCACTGAATTCATATTGATGGTCATTGTCCCTGATCATACTGGCCCTGTAGTGCGTGCAGTTGGAGGAAGCAAGAGCGGGATTAGAATCCTAGATCTGCCATTGGACAAACGTGGAGTGCAAGTTATTTCATGTTGGTAAGCCTCCTTTGTTTTTTATGTGAATCATGAGGCCTATGGATGATTTCTGGGTACTGTTGGACAGGAGGAAGGAATGAAGCTGCCGCTGAAAGAGGAAGGCAGTCAAATGAGACTCGCTGCCCCAGGGTATTGTTGAATTCCCAATGTAGACAGACCTGTTTAGTTGTAAGAGACAGTTCTAAGTAAGTTTTTATATGCTATGCCTTAAGTTTTTGAGAAAGGAAGTATTGAAGGATTCTAAACAGCGAAAATTATGTCAGGTTTTTTTTTTCTTTTGCTTGTTAAGATTTATTTATTTTTCGGGCCCGGCACCGTGGCCTAGCAGCTAAAGTCCTCACCTTAAATGTGCCGGGATCCCATATGGGTGCCAGTTCTAATCCCGGCAGCTCCAGTTCCCATCCAGCTCCCTGCCTGTGGCCTGGGAAAGCAGTCAAGGACGTCCCAAAGTCTTGGGACCCTGCACCTGAGTGGGATACCTGGAAGAAGTCCCTGGATCCTGGCTTCAGATCAGTGTAGCATCGGCCATTGCAGTCACTTGAGGAGTGAATCATTGGATGGAAGATCTTCCTCTCTGTCTCTCCTCCTCTCTGTATATCTGACCTTCCAATAAATAAATAAATCTTTTTTTTTAAAGTCAGATTTACATAGAGGTAGAGACCTAGATAAATCTTTCCCTAATTGACCACAACAGCCAGAGCTGAGCCTATCCAAGACGGGAGCCATGAGCTTCCTCTGGATTGCCCACACTGGCACAGAGGCTGAAGGCTTTCGGAAAGCCTCAGCTGCTTTCCCAGGCAAAAAAAAAAAAGGGGGGGGGGGAGCTAGCTGGGAAGTAAAGCAGCTGGACACAAACCGGCACCCATATGGGATGCTTGCTCTTGCCAGTGACTAGCAGTTGAGCCATTGTATTGGGCCCAGTTTTTTTTTCCCCCCTCAAAGATTTATTGTATTTATATTAAAAGCAGAGTTAACAGAGAAAAAAAGGTCTTCCTGTCCACTGGTTGACTCCCCAAATGTCCTTAAGGACTTGGCCCAGATTCTTCTAGTCTCCCATGTTGGTGCAGGAACCAAGCACTTGGGTCATCCTCTGCTGCCCTGCCAGGCACACGAGCAGGATGCTGCATTGGAAGTGAAACATCCAGGAAGTGGAGGCGTCTCAACCAGCTGAATTCCTCTGCTTTAGGTGTAGTACTTGTCAGAAAGCTGAAGAATTTTACATGCCTCCAAACTTGAGCTCGGTCATCACTTATGCCCCTGAAGTTGGGTTGCTTTTAGTAGGTTTGCTTTTAAAATAGGTCCTAGGGAGTGTATGTTTGAGTTTGTAATCATGGTCCACCTCTGTGGGACAGGAAGAGGAGATTGTTCTGCTGTTTCAAGGTCTGGTGAATATACCTGAGTAGCTGGAAACTTTGTTCCCTTTGGTTTTAATCCTGTGGCAGAGTAGATGTGACCACTTCTTTCAGCTCCTGGCCTCAGGGGACACAGGCAGGCACTTCTGACTGATCTGCTAGGTTAGAGATATGAACTGAATTTTCTGTAAATCAGGTTCATCCAGCAGAGTGGTAGGAAGCAGGATGGAGAGCTTAAAATTATTCCCAACTATGTCAGTAGATACAGGCATGTAAGATTGTAAGGCACAAGGCCTACCAAACCCTGTGGAATTCCAAGTTTCTTCTTCATTATTGAAAACACCTGAAATCTATCCAGATACTTGAGCTCATAGAATGTTAACTGATTCCTTTACTCAGATATTATAGTGACCTTGTGGCTGATAGTAAAAAAAGGTTTTAGAATTTAAAGGTATATAGAGGCACCTAAGTTGTATTTTCAGTTTTGTTTAAACCAGGGTTTACAGTTCAGTCTACAGCCTCTCGTGTAGCGTTGTTGGCTGGTTACTATGTACATGTGAAATGTGTTAGCAAAGGGGAAGCACGAATAAGTTTTGTGATCTGTTATGTTCAGTATGGATTTGCATGTCTAACAGGCACAGTTTTAGACCTGAAAGATACAAACTCTAATCAAAGTGCAAAATGTTCTCAGAGCTGTCATCGAGACCCACTCGGAAAGGAGACTGTCTCAGAGCAGGTGGTGACTGTCGGAAGAGCTGACGCAGGGCTCCAAGCTCCATTGATGAGCTCACAGAAGCCAGGGCTTGTTGGGCTGCCATCTGATGGGTTCACTTCTGTATACCCCTCCAGGGCCTGAATAGGGTTTGGTTTATAGTAAATTTTTAAGTAAAGCTATTCTTGATTAAAATAGTATTATTTTAAGTTTATATAAAAGTAGATGTATGCATTGGTAATCAGTGTTTCCATCTGGCCTAGTTGAAGCTGTTATCCTGTCAGTTGCTTTAATTACCTACTTTTTGTTTTACTTGTGCCGTATTATCAGGATAGGAAAAAAATGCACTAATGGTGATCATTAGTCATGTGGTTACCTGATACTGCAGACAATAGATTTGGAAAGGAATTTAAGAGGTCATCCTTTGTTCAACTTTTTGCCTAGGAAAACTGAGTTAAGATGATTAGGTATGCATTTTAATGAATCATTTAAAAAGTAAAACCGAGGATAACATCATTGAGTTTCCTCTTGAGAAATGGGGGGAAAGTACTTAACCCTAGATTTAAAGGGGCTGACTAACCTGAAAATTCTTAGTACATTCAACTACGTGGGAACATGGGAGGGAAAAAAGAGAGCACAACTAAGCTGCTTTTTGTTGATATCAGAAACGGGCCTGTCACTCACTCTGGCATTGAAGCATAGCCTCCTATCTCAGGGGGCAGGACCACAACTGTTTTTCCTCCCACAAGAGCCTGGACAGTTATTACAGGTTCAAAAAGCCCGACCAGTTTTTCAAGAGTTTCTTCTTTTTTTCCCCCTCTGGAACTCACAGCACTTGGGCTCTGCTTTCAAGATGCATTGAGACCGCCTGCTTTGTGACTGCTTTGGAGCCGGCAAGTTCCCTGACATGTATAATTCGCATTGTGCAGGTTTCACGAGTAAGTTTAATCTTATTTTTAAGCTAATTGAAATTCAGATGCTGTGTGGAAAAATGCTAGTTTGGACTTGGGGCATTTTGTCATGTCACCGCTTTTTAACTGTAAGCATTTAAAAAAAAAAAAAAACTTAAAGCCACCTTTCAATTTAATAAAAACGTTCTAATCAGAACAGCCCCGTGATCTCTTGAGACCTACACTTTCCGTTTCTTTCACATGCCTCTGTTACAGTGGACCATATTCAAAAGTCTTCTGAAAGCCAGGTAGCTCCAGAGTTTTCTTGAGCATCTCTTTAGTTTTACCGGGAAGTCTTTGAAACTGAGCTTTTCTGAGCTCGATTGCTTCTGTCTGACACAGTCTCAAGTTTCCACTGAATGGTAACAAAGACTGGAGTGTTGTTGGTACTGCAGTGAGAGGCATGCTCCGGTAGACCAGGTAAGAGAGATCAGTTTGTTTCCTACCTCTGCGCGAGTTTTTCACGGTGTTTATTTTGTAGCCGTTAAGCGGCAGCGGTGTTATGTGGATAAACACCCCGGAGCACGCTGGTTGCAAGACGCCCTTGCTTGTTTCAGGCAGGGAAAACTACAGTGTATGGGGGTTGGGGTGGGGGCGGGGGGAGGGGAGAGTTAGCTTAGTTTATCACTCAGTTCCTTATATATAGAAATTAGTTACAGCGTGAAAATAATTCTGAAGTCCAGTTCTCCTCAGGAACTGAAGAAGCCGCAAGGAAATTAATAATTTTAAAGGCAGTTCATGCTTATTACTTGTGAAAGCAATTCTGATGGGTAGTTTTTACTTTCATTTTACCCCCTAGCATTAGTTAATGAAAAAAGCTTTGCCCTTAACCAAACATTTTTTTTTTCTCTCCCCATTTATCAAAACTTTTAAATTGTCAACAGCAAGAAATGCTTCCTCAGGATCTTTGGGAATCAGTCTGACACTTGAAAAATATTTCAGCTTTTATCGCTGTTTCATTCTCTTTTTGTTCTTGGTACATTTTTCTTACATGTATTTGTGCTTTGAAAATGTCAGCTGTATTCTAATGAAGCTCACGCATTGTTTGCTCATAAAGGGGCCGGTGCATTCCACTGCTTTAGGGTTTATTATGAGGCACAGTGTGAGAGTGTGGGTGGCACCATTTGGTGTCTGCCTCTTGGGGTAGCGACTGCCATTATGTTAGCCTTAGCTGTGGACTGGCAAAGAAAATAGAGCATGCAAAGATGCTATATGAGGCTGGAGGCTGAGAAGAAAATCTCTAAGCAGAGCCTGAGCAAGCCTGGAATGTGTGACAACTCCATTGAGTTGATCATTTCAAGTAAACCCTTGAAGTTTTTTAGAGTTTATATCCTTCCAAGCACATGTCTTGTGGTCTTTTTTTTTCTTTTTAATGTATGTAACATTTGTCACTCTTTGAATTTTAACAAGGAAGTGAATCCTGCTAGATAAACTATGGTATTTTAATAGATGCTGTAAAAGTTTAATTCATTTACTTAAAAGTTTCAAGGAACTTAGCGTGAGTGGGTGGGTGGGTTGGGAGGGAGGGGGAGATGGGGGAGGTCAGGCAGAGAGCCTTTCTTTCAGTAAGGAAAGCCCTCCTGAAGAAAAAAAAAAAAAGCAACAGATGTTGCTTCTGTTACAATTGAGGTTGTTTCATTCAGAACTCAACAGTAGCTTGGAAGGGTAGGAGGCCATAAATCTGACTTAATCAGGGGGTATGTAGGAGTCATTTAAAGTTTAATCTTTTATATTCAGAAGTTGAGAATCAGGATAGAGTTGAGATCTTTTAAAGAGAGAGTCCTTTTAGAAAAATCATCAGAACTTATGTGCAATTAATGAACATGTTAGAAAGTTAATTTTATAAAGTTTATTCAAGTTATGGGGGAAATTGGATCATGGAACCATAAAAAAATTTTTTTTTTCTAAATTTAAGCCACCGAAAATATGTTGGAAATAAGTTAGGTTGCAAAAGTTTAGAATTGCACAATAGGTACAAAGGCTTAAAGTGAAGTTAAAATATGTAACATCTGTTGCATCTGCAGAGAGAAGCATTAGGCTTACAGAAACCTTTTCATTAGGAATGTAGAAGAAAGATTTCTGGTTTAATTGAAATGTGTTACAGTTTACCGCTAAAAGAAAGATACTGAGCCTAGAGTGGTTGCTAATGGGAAGAGGATGAATTTTGTGTGTGTGTTGGAAAGATAGGAAGGAAGAGTTTGGAAGTAGTATGCATGGAATGAAAGCCGACAAAACGAAACAATAGTTTGTGAATTTGCGGAATTTATACTGAGTAAAGCGTAAACCTTTCCTTTTCGAGTAACACAAAAGTTTCGTGCTCGTGCTTATTGCACCTTTATACTTGTTTCCACCTAACTTCTTAAAGTTGATTCTAGCAAAACTAGTGCTGAGCAGTGTTTTTTCATTTTTTAGGCACCTCTGAAATATTTCAGTAGCGATTTACAATAGCTAAACAACTCTGTAAACTGAATTCATATTTGGAGTAAACAGCATTCTGTTCCCTAAATATGTGATTGATCTCAAAAGAAGACTGGAAAAGATAAACATTCAAGGGGATTCTTTAAAATGTCTCTTAACTTGAGAATTGCAAAGCTTCCCCGAGGATTCTGTTTTGTTCAGAGAATTAGGACCAAATGCAGAGCTTGAAGTTTATCACATGGTTGTTTTAATTAAGATGAAGATATGATTCAAAAATTGACTTCTGTACATCTTACTGTTTTAAGGAACAGTACTACCTAGCAATTAGGGAACTTTCTTCCCCTCTCTAAGATAAATAAGATAAGTAAAATAGCTCACATGGTATAGAAATGGAATTTAGGTTTGCCTGAAGAACTTTGGGCAGTTTTGATCAAAGTATGTGAATTCTGATGGACTGGATAGCTTTGGAAAAAGTTAATGACCCCACAAAAATGTAACTGTGATAGCAGAGGACTTAGACGGTTATTATCAAAAATGTTTGTCGTTGAGGAGTACATGTAAACGTAATAGCAAGTGACTTCAGAAATAATTACATGGAATCAGCTTGAGCCTGTGAACCTTTCCAGTCAAATTCAGGACAAATTGGTTAAATTGTTTGAAGGTGAATTACCATTATAGCTGTAAATATAATTTGGCATGGAACTGTTGAGTGTGTGCTGACATTCTGGAAAAGAAAAAAAATCTTGGCTTTTATTATACTCTCTGTGATGAACCAATTTCTGTTATACTGTGCTTTAATATGAAAAATATATGAAATTGGTTGCTAATGTCTGGGAAAAAATGTCCTAATCCATCTGTCATATAGAGATAATACCTTAATTAGCCTTAATTTTTTAAAAAGATTTATTTTTATTGCAAAGTCAGATATGCAGAGAGGAAGAGAGACAGAGAGGAAGATCTTCCTTCTGATGATTTACTCCCCAAGTGACCGCAATGGCTGGTGCTGTGCCAATCCAAATTCAGGAGCCTAGATGCTCTGCAAAGTCTCCCACAAGGGTGTAGGGTCCCAAAGCCTTGGGCCGTCTTTGACTGCTTTCCCAGGCCACAAACTGGAGCTGGATGGGAAACAGGGCTGCCGGAATTAGAACTGGCACCCATATGGGATCCCTGTGTGTTCAAGGCAAGGATTTAGCCACTAGGCCATGGCGCTGGGCCACAGCCTTAATTTTTTTAAGATATTTTTATTGGGCGGTCAGATAGATATAGATGATATATACAGGATGCATAACAGATAGGAAGTTCTTCTGTCCGCTGATTCATTCCGCAGTGGCTGCAAAGGCTGCAGCTGAGCTGATCCGAAGCCAGGAGCCAGGTTCCCCAAGTGTAAGTGGAGGTTCCCAAGGCCTTGGGCTGTCCTCTACTGCTTTCCCAGGCCACAAGCAGGGAGCTGGGTGGGAAGTGGAGCAGCCAGGGAATAGAACAAGAACCCATATGGGATCCCAGCACGTGCAAGGTGAGAACTTTAACCACTAGCCTACCATAACGGGCCCTGTTAGCCTTAATTTCTAGTAAAAGCTTTGCTGTAGAATTGATTTCATTATTTAAGAATGCATACAGAAGGATAGATGTTGTGCTGCAGGTGAAGTTGCAGCTCAGGATGCCCTTCCCCATGTTGGGGAGTGACTGGTTCAAGTCCTAGCTACTTCAGTTTCTAACTAACTTCCTGCTAACACACCTCGGAGACAGCAGAACTCAAGAAATTGAGTTCCTGCCACTCACCTGGAAACCCAGCCTGGAGTTTCTGCTCCTAGCTTCTGCCCGGCCCAGCCCTGGCAGTTACAGGCACTTGGGGAGTGAAAAGCTAGTGGAAGATATGTCTCTCCCCTTTTCTGTCACTCTGCTTTTCATATAAATAAGAAAGCAGAATATATGCTGACCTTCAGGAGCAAGGTACCTGGGCTGCTTCTGTTTGAAGTCCTTAGGGTGATTCTAGGGAACTGAGAGAGTCTGAGCCTTACCTGTTGTTCCCCAAGTCAGAATACCTGGAATGGCTGGTTTACAAGTTCTCTGTGCACACACACACACACACACACACACACACACACAAATAGAAGTAGCTAACTGCTACCTAGAAATTTTCCATCTCTGGGTGGCTGTTGTGGTGAGTTAGGCAGCTAGTCCAGGGTCTTGTAGAAGCCACTGCCCCCACCACCACCACCTAGGTATTCCCTCCCGCCCACCTGTGACTCTCACCTATCATCACCTGGAATCTCAGAGGGGGTGGTACTGCATTGTTGTGTAACCACTCTCCTTACAAGCCTCTACAAAGGCTCATCAAGGAGGGGCTCTTGGTCCTGTGCTTTCATTGCTCTGGCATTCTTGATTCTTAGCCTCCCCAGTACCTGCTTGCTCTCTGGCTTCCCGTGGACAGACTCTGAAGACAGGTATCCCTTGAGCATGGCCCCTGCATGTCTGTATTCCTTATCCTCTGCTCACTGCTTGGGCAAGACAGTGAAGATGTTCATGCTAAGATGTTTTGTATTTCTAATTTGAGTGCTCCCGGGAGTTCCAGGAGAGGGATGGCCTAGCAGTAGTGGAATGTGGGCAGAGAAGCCAGGGAAAAGTGAATGTCTGCAGCTTTGTAAGTGTGTCCAGGTTATCTGTTGCATGTCTTTTAGGATAACTTCTATTGTGGGGAAGCTGGGACATAGTTCTTCAGTTTAATGGATGGTCTTCAAGGTAAAGACCATTTGTTCCTCTTGGGGTTACTATTGACTGAATTGCTGTATGGTCTTATGATTTGCTATTTCTAGTGGGCCCTGTTATCACCAAGTTTGGTTAACAAAGACTCCTTAATAAACCTTTAGGCATGTCTGGAGTGATCTTGCTTGTACCCCAAAACACGGTAAGAGGGAAGCTGTACCTGATGCCTGTGTTTTTTTTTTTTTTTTCCCAAAAAAGAAAACCATTGTTTAGAAGAAGGAAGCAGTGTAGTCACTTTG